CACGAGTCATAAAAGAGCCAAGGTTGCCTACCCCTGGGTTGGTGGAACAAGAAGAAGGGGCACGCAAAGAACACATTGACTTGATAACATCAAATCTGATGCAAAGTCGAACGTGCAGCAATTGAAGAAAGCTCCGCTTGACAGGGTAGCATGGAGAGCATTTGCCTATAAAGTCACAAAGAGTTAGACATGACTAAATGGTTAAAAACAACAACGATGGTCTTCCATTGAAAGAGCAACCCAGTCTGAGTTTTCTGTGCTTTGTGAGGTTAGATGTCTATGAAGGTTCTGATGCATCCAGGTTATGGTTTTCTCAAAGGTGCTTTTTTCAAGAGTCAACTGGACTTTCTTGCTGAATCTTGTTCTGATGGGTTTGTTCTTCTATGTTGAACAGCCCTCTCTCAATAGAGGGGGAGAGATATGACATTATCTATCTCCAGTCTACAACACAGGCCATCATCTATCTCCAGTCTACAACACAGGCCCTCATCTATCTCCAGTCTACAACACAGGACATCATCTATCTCCAGTCCACAACACAGGCCATCACCTATCTCCAGTCCACAACACAGGCCATCATCTATCTCCAGTCTACAACACAGCCCATCATCATCTATCTCCAGTCTATAACACAGCCCATCATCTATCTCTAGTCTACATCACAGCCCATCATCTATGTCCAGTCTACAACACAGCCCATCATCTATCTCCAGTCTACAACACAGCCCATCATCTATCTCCAGTCTACAGCGCAGGCCATCATCTATCTCCAATCTACAACACAGCCCATCATCTATCTCGTCTACAACACAGCCCATCATCTATCTCCAGTCTACAAAACAGGCCATCATCTATCTCCAGTCTACAACACAGTCTATCATCTATCTCCAGTCTACAACACAGTCCATCATCTATCTCTAGTCTACAACACCGGCCATCATCTATCTCCAGTCTACAACATAGTTCTCTCAGCAGTTCCAAGAAGGCTCCACACCCATTTGCACCATTCAGGTGACCCTGAGGACACAGATAAACCCCCAAGTGGCCTCAACGACTCTCCAAAAGAAGGCAAATGACCAGCTGTCTGCAAGGAGTATAAATCCTTCCATTCCCCCACCATCCAGTCAGAGCTGAAGAAGCTTCTTGGATGAGAAGCGAAACGCCTTCAAAGAGAAAACAAAAAAGTCCAGTTGCCTCGTGAAAAAAGCACCTTTATGGGGTTATAAGTTATACGCTAGGTCAGGGGTAGGCAACCTTGGCTCTTTTATGACTCGTGGACCTCAACTCCCAGAATTCCTGAGCCAGCATGGGGAAAACTTTGGTCCCTTCATGACTTGTGGACTTCAACTCCCAGAATTCCTGAGCCAGCATGGCTCAGCTTGGAAACCCCTCCCTTTTCTCTCAGCATGGCTGGCTCAGGAATTCTGGGAGTTGAAGTCCACGAGTCATAAAAGAGCCAAGGTTGCCTACCCCTGGGCTAGGTATTGCTACCTGTGATGTCTCCCCAATCTCCTAATTCCTCTCATTCTTCAAATTTGGATTTTTCCTCAGGCTAAGGAGAAGCCAGTCTACCACGTTTAATCCTGATGATATGACGGAAACTGAGTTCAAAAGAGGAGGAACAAGAGCGACGGCCGGTCCCAGGCTAGGCTGGTCAAGAGATCTTGGACAATCCAATAAGTAAGAGAGAAGCCTTGAAACGACATACAAATTGTTTCTTTTCTCTTTTTTTCCTTCTTATTATGCTTGAGGGAGCTGGGTGAGTTGGACTGTGGAAACAAAATGAGGTGATTTTATGGGATACTGATAAAAAGTTGGGATATTTAGAGTTGGGCCATTATTAGGACAAAGGGTAGGATAAGAGGGGTCCTTGGGCCAGCTCAGAGTGGAAGGGAAGGGTCCTGGGTGCCCTCTGAGCTTGGCTGTTTTCTTGGGTTTAATTACCCAACTAGGTAACATCATCAGTGCTGATATAACTCCATTCCCTTCTAGCACTAGTTGGGTAATGAAACATCTGCAAGAAAACCACCAAGTTCAGAAAGCACCAAGGACCCCACAGTCTTCCTCCTCCTCCTCCTCCTCCTCCTCCTCCTCCTCCTCCTCCTCCTCCCTGCAAACACCACTCCCTTCTAGCACTGATGATGTAACCTAATTGGGTCATGAAACATCTGCAAGAAAACCACCAAGCTCTGAGAGTACCACGAACCCCATAGTTCTCCTCCTCCTCCTCCTCCTCCTCCTC